TACCAACACACACACACACACACACACACACACACACACACACACACACACACACACAGGAATCAAAACCAAAGACTGAATTTATCAGCCATTTCAAACCTTAAACTATAGATAGAGACAACTATTTTCATAAATTGCAGATTAAGATACAAATCAGAAGTTAATTAGTAAAAATGTTGACATGAAAGACTCACTGAAATATCCACCATCATTTAATTATAAGCAAGACCCAAGTGTCGACCTATGACTGATGCCCCTGAGGGTGCACAGTCAAGTCAGCAGCTCTGCTCGGCCACAAACCCTAAACTGCAGTCTTAATGAAGTTACTGCTATAGCTAATTTTCTTGCTGATTAAAAAATACCTGTCTTTAAAATAAGTTTAAAGTACAAAGAAAATCTACTTTTGAAAATACTGCTAATTGCTTTCTCAGTTAAAGTAACAAAATTTTTTCTTACATTAGATATAAAAATATATACTCCAAGCAGAAAGACAATGGTAAAAAAAAAAAAAAATAAAGTACAGCAATACACCTAATGACAAAATTTAGAAGATGGTAGACCTTCTACACACTTTTAACAAAGGACGGAAACAGGTCTTCAATAGCTTGCAAAAGCAAATAATAAGAGCACCCAAACAAAAAACAGATCTAATAGCTCTCAGTATTTCTGCCCAGAGGTAAATACTATGAAGTTTCCTGTTGAAAAAAAAAAACAAAAGAAATGAACTATGGCCGGGTGGTAGTGGCTCACACCTTTGATCCCAGCACTTGGGAGGCAGAGGCAGAGGCAGAGGCAGTTGGAGCTCTGTGAGTTCCAGGACAGCCTGGTCTACAGAGTGAGTTCCTGGACAGTCACCAAAACTACACAGAGAAACCCTGTCTCAAAAAAAAAAAAAAGAAAAGAAAAGAAAGAAATGAACTATGGAGGCTGAATGTACAACTCAGATGTTAAGAGCACTGAATGCTCTTTCAGAGGACCCGGGTTCAATTCCCAGCTCCCACATGGCTGCTCACAACTGTCTGTAACTCCAGTTCCATGGCAAAACACTAACGCACATTAAAAAAATTAAAAATTAAGAAATGAACTATGCATAACCCTGTATATATCTGACAAACTTACCTTTTTAATTGCAAACTTTAAACAACAACAAAAAAAAAAAACCCACAAAGAAACCAACAGGCAGGTTGTGGTGGCAAAGGTCAGCAGGATATACTGGAGGCTGAGGCAGGAGGATAATGAGTCAGAAACTAGCCTAGGCTATCCCCTGGCCCAGCAAGATGGCTCAACTGGTAAAGACACTTGCGATGCCAGCTTGGTGAGCTGAGTTCAATGCTCCAAACCCAAGTAAAAGTAAAAAAGAACCAACACCATGATGTCCTCTGACCTTCACGAAAGCACTGTGACAGGCACCTGAGACTGCCACCCTCCCTCCCTTCAACATGCACCTATAGACACACTATAATAAATAAACCAACAATAAAAACAACAAAACACTAAGCCAGTATGGCGGTACAGGCCTTTAATCCTCGCACCCAGGAAGCAGAGACAGAGGGTCAATGCAAACTCAAGGCCAGCCTGGTTTACCCAGTGAGTGCCAGGTCAGTTAAGAGCTGCACAGAGATCCTGTCTCAATAAAACAAAGACTGGGCCTGGGGAGGCAGCTCAAGGGAAAGTGCTTGCCACATAAGCATGAATGAAGAACAGCTTGATTCCCAGCACCCATGTTAAAAACAAAACAAAACCAAACAACAACAAAATTAATAATTTAAAACAAAGCAACAAAAATAATTTATGAATAAAAAAAATTAGTTAAAACAAGTCAGGCACAGAGGTGCTCTGGAGAAGTGGAGATGGGAGGATCTCTGGGGCCTGCGGGGCTAGCTAATCAGTGAGGTCCAGGTTCAGTGAGAGACCTTGACTTTGAAAAATAAGGGAAGAGCAAATGAGGAAAACACGACATTCATCTCTGGCCTCCACACACAAACATGCACACACAAACATAGATACAGAGATGAAGAAAAGAGATGATGAATATTTGCAAACATTTTGCAAACACAGAAAGAATCTGGAACTAACTGCTTAATGCATCCAACACCCAGTCTGGACAGTTAACAAGTCAGACACCATAGCACCCTCCCACCCTGTGCCCAAGGTTGTTTTCACCCAGATTCCAAGCCTCATCATTGTCACAATTCTTAGCAACTTCCAATATCTGCTTTCCAAATCCAGAATATATTAGCCATAAAAACTTTAAAGTATTTAAGTATATAAAAAGGTTTAAGAATTAAAAACAGTGGTGGCGCACGCCTTTAATCCCAGCACTTGGGAGGCAGAGCCAGGCGGATCTCTGTGAGTTCGAGGCCAGCTGGGTCTACAGAGTGAGATCCAAGAAAGGCGCAAAGAAACCCTGTCTCAAAAAACCAAAAAAAAAAAAAAACAGTACGTAAGAATTAAAAACAAAGACCAGTTATCTGAAGAAAGAAAAGAACTATTTATTTACAGATACACAGAACAAAGCTGATCCTCAAAATTGTCATTGTTTATGATCAGTGTTTAAAAAGGAAGAGGACTGTGACATTAGTGTACTTTCAGGTTGTTTTGTTCTGGCAGAGCTGAGGACAGAATCTGGGGCTCCAACATGCTAGGCCCCACACCACCACTGCGCATCCCCAGCCTGAAGCAATTTTTTGTTAAAGACAAAACAATTAAAAGCTTATGCTTTAGGACATTAATCAGAGGTGTTTCACTCATGTCAAACATTTTTCCTTTGAACAGTTCCAAATAAATACTGCCTTCTATATTTAGCATCTATCTGAGAGGCAGATGGTAAATGTGGGGTGAAGAATGGTTGATGACATGTGCGAAGATAGATTCACACATACAGAAATTTAAAAAGCATCATGGTTAGAATATTAGGGCTTGGGGGCTGGGGATTTAGCTCAGTAGTAGAGTGCTTGCCTATGAAGTACAAGGCCTTGGGTTTGGTCCTCAGCAAGGGATTTTAAAAAAAGGAAGAAAAGGAGGAAGAAGAAGATTAGAGCTATCCAGAGTGGTTCATTCAATCCATCCTAGCACCTGGGAAGACCAGCCTGGGCCACAAAGTAAGTAAGACTAACCTGAGACCCTGTGCCCTCCTACCACCACCACTACCAAAAAGATGATAAAATACTAATACTAATTTTTCAAATAAGTCCTCCAGGTAGTTTCAGACTATAAATTTAATGACTATTCTCTCAGCCAGATTCACTGGGCAAAGGCTTTATGTGAACCAATTTCTTAAAGTTCACAATCACCTGAGAAACATTAAGACACTAGCTGCCCAAGGTCAATCAGCTTTTCTTACAGAATGACAGGCTTCATCTTCAAACCGTAGGGTTAATGACGCCAATATTACTTCTGCATTGTTTCTCTGGAGCAAATATTTCACTGTGATAGGTGCCATGAGATGCACTGAGCATGTTTAGCATTCATGATTAAACAGGCTGGTCACATACCATGGAGACTTTTACTCTGGAAGATTTATTATACATACTACCTGTTAAGATCTCACAGCCCTGCAGACACCCCTGCTGCTTCTACATTCCCAGTGCTGGGAAAAATTCATGGAGAGCTTTACCAATAAAGATGTTGCTTTTCTAGATTCTAAGGTTATTTCTTGTCACTTCAACTCACCTGACTTGACAGATACTGACTAAATTTCTGTCCTTTTTTTTTCCTCACACAACTTTTAA